CCTCCTTAATCGGCTGGCAGGAGCAAAAATGCTTCCTAGATCAGCCGATGCTTCCTAGATCGGGGCACCGCCCCCTCCTTACTGCGTGTGTGTAGGCGCATCGGCCCGATTTCTTTAGGCAGTCGCTGCCGGCAACCCTCGCGGAAGGAAGTTAACAAAACAGTGATACTGAATGACCTTTTTTTATATAACAAAATTTTTTACATTTTAATCATATAAACGGAGTAGAAGCCTATGGCACTGATATTTTACAAAAAAACCAAAAAAAAAGTGAATAAAATATATAAATTAATTGAAATTTTATCGAAATTCAAATCATATCCACCCTAGCCTGTGACCCTGCGAAGTGACATGGTCAAGAATGCCTACTAAACTAATTTTTTTATTGCCGTTCGTAAAGTAGAGTGTATGATGTAAGTAAGGAGAAGATAAAGCCTCTCCTCAACAACTAACTCCTATTCCAACGCTATCAACACAAGACCGCACTCATATCTCTTACAACTCCACAAGACCACACTTCGATCTCTTACGTGCCTTCATCCTCTTATCAACAACTAACTTCTGCTCCTTCACCATCTCCACATCAACAAACAAGTTATATAAAAGGGAGTATGTCCGAAATTAAAGGTTTCTTTATGTTTAAAAAAAGATATAAGCTATTTTATTTTCTGATAGTTTTACTCCATAAATAAAGATTACATTAAAAAAAAAAGTATACATATTATTATACAAAAGTATTTTATTTCCTTGTTTGTTGTGTGTATACATAACCAGATTTTGACCAAAGCAGAAATGAACAAAGAGAAGAAATAACTAAATAGCATAGGTAGGAGAAATTGACGTTTTTATATAAGTGGCGAAATCATTTCTAGAAGATTATAAAAACTGTCTTCACCCATCCGGAGAAAATTAATGACGTCCTTGGATTACAGGCCATTTAGTACGTTTATGTAGCTTAATTTTTATTTTTTTTGGAGCCATTTTTTCACCCAGCAACTCCTCTTTTTCTATTTTCGAATAAATTTACCGAGAGGGCTAATGCCAAACCAATACATTGGTGTTTTAAGAGAGTTGAAGCTATTTTGAAGAACTCTACCGCATATGTGTTCCGCTCCAAGTCCGAACGCGTACTGCTAGGCAGGCCCGTGTGTAGGGTCTGCCCCGATAAAAGCCCCGATTTCTTTCCACCCTAGATCGCCACCGATATCGTCTCGTGTGTAGCCCGTTTAAATTACCGGTCGATTTTCTTCCTGACGATTCCTGCGCAACCTCAGAATATATTTTGCTCTCCAAGCTGCAATATCACTGCGTTCTACCAATACTTTTCGCTTAGACTGGCACCTTTTGTATTTGTAGCCCATAGTCTTTAAAATACTCCTCAACGATGTTCTGCCATATTTAAAACCAATATCAGTTTTCAATTCCAACCAAAGTTTATTTATGGTAGGAATCTCCTTCTTCACGACGTAAAATGATTGAATTAAATGCCTTATAGCGCATCATATCGAAATCGTCTAAATCATAATTTTTTTTCCTTCGGTTCCTAGTTTTTCCCGGCGTCACAATTTTAGAAGATGAAGCTTCTGCTATATTACCCTCTTGACTTATCTGGGTAACGGTGCGTTCAGAAACACCTAAAACAAAATAAAAACAATGCATTATAAATACATGATATTAATGACACGAGGAAATTAAAAAGGAACAAATAGAGTAAATTGGGGAATTTTATTGTAATGGCATCCCTAAAAATTACCTGTTAAATATGCAACGCGGGCTCTAACTTTGGAAAACGGTACTATAGGCCCGTTATTGTCTCGTTCTTCTTCACAAGCACGTTTGACTTTCAAAATAACATCCCTGCCAGCACTTTTAATCACTTTCAGCATAATGATAACGATTAATTACTGCAAAAAAGAATAAAAACAGGACACCTACCACTCTGTTTAGACACTTGCCATAAACAGTAAGATGGCGGCACACGATTAGTTCCAATTTTGGCCGCGCGCAGAGTTATCTTGCGCGCACTCTACGATCATTTTCCATGTGAGCTCAAATATAGGTTACAATTGTCACTAAGAGAGGCAAGAAATAATTTGATAAAGTCTAAAGAAAAGAGAAAAATTATATTTGATGTATATACCAAGCCTATAAAATACAATGTAAATGATTTAGTACTCTTAAAAATGAGTCAGGTAATAAACTAAGTGATCTATACTCTGGTGCTTATAAAGTTGTTAAAGATATAGCACTAAACGTAGAAATAATTAAGAATGGTAAAAATGAATTAGTACATAAAAACCACACGAAATTGTATGTCCAATAATAAATAAAACATATTTTATATGCTTTGCCTAAGTACATATATTGTTATTATTATTATTTCTTTCTATAGATTACTTAATATTACGTAATTATAAATATTCTAAATTAAATAATCATTAAAAAAAATGTTCTTAGAATAAATACCTTATACATTATTTTATAATGTAACTGTTCCTAATATTTACAAAAACAGAATCTATTAATGTATCGAGGCTTAAAAAAATTGATCCTTGTATTGTCACATTTTTTTTTCTTTTGGATGGAAGGTGTAGTAGTAGTAATAAGAGTGTATAAAAGTACACACACAAGTACAGATGGGCAAAGCACCGGGTTAAAACCCGGTACTTTGGTAAAAACCCAATAAACACCCGTAAACACCCATAAACACCCAAAAAATTGGGTGTTTATTTAATTTGTGTAAATACTTAAGTAATATTAAAAACAAGTTTTAAAATTTATTTTTATTGATTACAATGATGAATACAACTATAGAAATTTAAAGAAACGTCACCCAATATTAGTTTTCGGTGCTTTCATGTTGTAGTTGACCAACATGTTGGCCTTTTGCTTGCCGTAGATATTTTAAAATTTCCTCATAACACCTCGTGCGCACACATGGCCATATATATTTAAATTCTTCAGCCACTAACATTCCAAAATATTCGTTTCTTTTATCATTTTCTTCATACAATGTTGCGCATTCGGAAGAGTTTGTTTCTTCTTTTGTTTTTGTAAGTTTTTTTCTCTGTTTGTTCTGTTTTTTTTTCATTGTGGCTATCCCGGGCAAATCTTTTGGACACTGGGTCTCACTATATAGTCTCACTATATTTGGAGATCGGCTACGGCTACGGCTTAGCGGATTTCTGTTTTTCTACAATTACAAAAAAAAAAAATAGAACCGCTATGCGAACACAAGCGTTCTAAGTAGCTTATGAGCTAGGTAAGTAGTAGGTACATGTAGGTACTTACGTTTACGTAGATTTTCTTTTATTAATTGTTTTATAGAAACGTCTTCGTCTCTAAACTTAGCCTCCATTTTGCGTCCAGTGATTAGCAACTAATAATGCCCAAATTAATGTAATAACGTTATTTTATTTAATATTTTTGCACATAAACAATACCCTTCAGTAACCGCGGCTGACTTTCTAGAAAAGACAGCGAAAGAATAACGCACGCACGTTATGTCAGATATTATAAGTATAAGGGAAATTCCCTGTATCTATAATCTATAGATTTACGGATCTGGAATCTTGCCTTTCTGAGCCTGTCATCAATGATCAAATCAATCTTATTAAAATTTCGCCATCTATCGTTTAGTAGCACTAAAAACAAATCCTGTAGCATTATAGGCATGCGCAGACGAGGGACTTTTGTCCGCCTTCATTAAAATACTAATACAAGTTAAATATTCATATGCCTTCTTTATATAAATTTAGTTTTACGACAAAATCGAGTTATTAGATAAAATAAACGAAAAAAAAAGCTAAAAGATAAAAGAATATTTACACTAATAGGCAGATTTAAACCATTCGTTCGGTAAGTCCTACGCGAAAATCATAAACGAGCATTAAATTGAATATTCTGAAAATCCCTCAAACGTATTCGGTCTGCCTCATAGATTTCAGCTTTTACATTTGTTCTCTCTAAATCTAGGGTAAATCTCCGAAATTGTCAAAACTGCGTAGTTGATCCGGGCGGGAGCCTACACATGTTCCGATTTAGTTGGAAGTGAAGTTCGTATGAACCAAATCCGGCCAGACCGCGTCAAACACGAATAATATTTATTATGGTAAATTAATTGGCCGTCGGATCGGAACGTGTGTACACACTATAATTATTTCACTCCGCGAACTTTCTTAAGATATGACTAGCGCCATCTAGTATCGAGAAGTGTTATTACCTTTTTTTGTCTATGGATTTGAAGCGACATCTCTACGCTTGCAATACATTATAATGCGGAATTCCCCTATTCATCAACGCTGAATGAAGATGAGGCGCAATAAAAACTGTCAGACGTGTTCATTAAATGAAAATTGTAGACGTGTGTACCTGTACCTTGATTCCTGAATTAACGTATTAGGAGTAGGAGTGAAGAAAGTTTTTATAAAGTTAACAAATTAAAAAAAAATACATAATAATAAAATTTATTAATTATACTGTTTGTTTTTATAAGGTAAGTGGGTTTTCAAATGTTAGAAATTTATATTTTTAGGAATCAAAACGATTGTATTTATATCGATAGTTGATACAGTAAATATGATTTTAGTTTTTTTTTTCTAAGATATTTTAACTCTTGAGGCCAAGGTTTGCTGTTTGAAATTGATATCAACCAAAAATTAAGATTTATATTGTAAACAGCAATGATTTAAATCAAAGTTGATTTTTTTATTGTAAAGAGAAAAATACAGTTTAAGTAGGTACATATTCTAGTTCAACTTTTTTTATGAACTCCCTGGGCCAAGGTTCTTAAATAAATAAATCTTTTAACTAAAATAATTTAAATAACATTATTTTTCGTAGCCTGCTTGATTTAGTTCAAAACCAAATAATGTACAATTTTTTTAGGTACAATAGGGTGACCTAAAGATTTACGCATATGGGAGCACTACCGTACAACACACAAGTCTGTTTCCTGCAAGGTTTGTAATAAGGTCTATAAATTTAGTAATGCTGCCAAAATGCTTCAACATCTTATCACTTGTCTAAAAACTCCAAAATCATTAAAGGATTCTATGAAAACTATAAAAGATAGCTCGTCCAAAACAGAAAAACCCGAACTGCCGATAAATAATTCTCTTCCAAGTGCCTCATCGTCTGCTAACAGTACGATGAATACTGAGTTTCAAGAGAGCAATGATCATGATGACATAAAAATAAAATTAGCGAGAGCTATATTTGTAACAGGGACGCCATTATCGATGGTGCAACATCCTTTATGGATACAATTTTTCGAAAAATTGCAACTAAATTTTAAAATACCTTCAAGTAAAACTGTAGCGACAAAATATTTAGATAAAATATATAGAGAGATGCGTCTAGAGTTAAATGAGGAACTAAACTCTTGCACTTACTTACACCTTCAGTGCGATGGCTGGTCTAATATAAGAAATGAAGGAATAATAAACTTTCTTATATCAAAACCTCGACCTGCATATATAAAAAGTTTATATACAGAAAGTAATCGTCACACTAGTGAATATCTTTGCCAAGAAATTGAAAAAGTAATGCAAGCGTATGGAGAAAATAAGTTTCTTGTACTTATTGGCGACAACGCCAGAAACATACAAAAGGCATTTCAATTAATAAAACTCAAATATCCACATGTTGTTCCTCTCGGTTGCTGTGCACATGTCCTTAACTTGTTATGCCAAGATATCATAAAGGTACAAGAGATTACTTTATTTATAATGCAAGTCATAACTATAATAAAATATTTTAAAAAGAGCCAACGACTGACTTCACTTTTGAGAAAATTCAGTCAGGGCCAAGATTCTACACAAACACTAAAATTGCCTTGTGTTACTAGATGGGGAAGTCATATTACTTCATTAAAAAGTTTAAAAGCAAATAGGTCAGCTTTGCAAATATTGGCAGTTCGAGAAGACGTGGAAATTGCAAGAGATATTAAAGATTTAATTCTAAGTGATGATTTTTGGACGAAGACAGGTGAATGTATAAGTATTTTGGAACCAGTCACTGAAAGTATATTTTACTTAGAGAGCGACCAGAATCGTATATATCGCACATACATTACATTTAAAGATATACAAGCTAAGATACGTTTCACTTTAACTGATATTTCAACATTGAGCGAAGAAAGCAAACAGCAAATTCTAACATCAGTCTCTTCAAGATGCAATATGGCAATTAGACCAATACATTTGGCAGCATATATGCTAGACCCTACAACTCAGGGATAGAACTTACTCAAGAGGAAGAACTTCAGGGTATGGAGTTTATCTACAATTTAAGTCAACACTTGAGTTTGTTTAATGTAATGGCAGATTTGGCGTGTTACAAAGCTAAAGAAAACTTTTGGGCCAGACGATTTCTATGGAGCTCATTAGATAGTATTGAGCCCATAATATGGTGGAAAGGTATTTGTGGTTCCACCGAGCTTAGCAAAGTAGCGATTCGTATTCTATCAGCTCCGTGTACTTCTGCAGCCACCGAGCGTTCCTTTAGTATCCAAGGCTACATACATAATAACAAAAGAAATCGACTTACAACTGAAAGAGCTGAAAAAATTTCATTCATTTGTTATAACTGGAATCTTAAACATAAACATGAACATGAGAACATTCAGTTTCATGAAGAAAATGAAGAAGAAAATGTCATAGAAGCTTTCATCGATGAAGTAAATGACTATAATAGTTCAGACGAGATGGAACCTATCCAATTTGTCGCCTGTGACAGTGTTGAATCGGATAGTGATTGATTGCATTTTTATTTTATTTTATCTCTTTTTTAATAAATAAATAATTAATAAACATCTTTGGACAATTTCACACAATGCTACCTAGCTCCAAAGTAAGCAACTAATATGCTTATGTAATGGGTGCTAGCTTAATGGATATACTACTTATATACTTTTTAAATACATGTTTTATACATAGGAACACCCAGACCCGTCATAGAAATTCAAATTCATCATTTCAATTTCTGCCCCCCGGGATGAGAATAAACTCAAACACAATTTTTATTTTGTAGGCGACATAATAACATTACTTTACTATATTGTTCGTGAGTCCGACTTAGAGTCACATAGTGAGTATAAATAAATGCCAAGTAAATGTTATGATTGAAATGAATTTTCAATCATGAATTCATGACTTTAATTTTTACGTGTTTTTATTACTGAATATTAAGTTTGTGTTTAATGCGGATCTCTTCTACACACTCGGAGGGCCACAGCTCAAGCTAACCATATCCGGTCATTCATGTCGCCTTGGTCTATCGAAAGAAAATACGGAAACGGGTAGCTGGAACTGTGGCCCACTGTACGAGCTAGCATTTGGTGAGGTCGAGAAGTAGAATAGGTTTTCGAATTTAAGTTAAAAATCGTAAACACCCAAAAATTTGGGTGTTTACTGGGTTTAAACCCAAAACACCCAAAACACCGGGTTTTTACCCACCTGGGTTTAAACCCAGGTGGGTGTATTGCCCATCTGTACACACAAGTGTAATACTAATCCTATATAATCAAATTTATTAATACAATAAAGAGAGTCTTATATCATCATTCGTTTGTTTAACTCCTCTCCTAACATTCGCCCTTCAATATTTAAAGCCTGTGTCGTAGCAGGCTTTAGAAAGTCTGGTAAATTGCGCCTTGTCCCTGAGGAAGACATGGGGCGGGATCTGTTTCTTTTTGGCAGCGACAGGGGCTGAGGTTGAGCGAGCAGCGGCGGGGGCTGCGGGGATGCGGACAGCGGCAGGGGCTGCCAGGACGTGAGGTGTGCGAGAGGTCGCAGCGCGTTTCGAACCGCCCTTGGATTTCACTTCCGTTAAGGGGGTCGTATCAATAACTGATTGATCGGACTCTGATGAGTCCGAGGAGCAGCTACTGGGTGAGGAGATTGACGTAAGAGCGGATCTCCTACGGGTGGACGAAGTTTTAGAGGCGATGTCCGAGTGCTCCATGATTTCGGAGTCTTGGGCCGCTAAGAAGTCCGCGACGGAGGGCGGAGGGTTACATGCCTTAGGGGCAATGGGGACAAGATTGGAGCTAAAATCACTGAGGAGAAGGGTTTCGTCAATATTGACGACTACTCCTTGAGCTTGAGCAAATTGATGGCTGATGGCCATAATTTGGCTCGAAAATTGGCTTATGTCTATGGTGGACAACATGTTGTTCAGACTGGGAGGTTAAAGCTGTATTCTAAGAAACTGGGGTCCCTTTGTCCTGAGAAGAACAAAGATCTTGCTTTGAAAAGAACAAATGACGCCTATTCCAAGAAATAGTAACACAGTAACACAATAAACAAAATAGTAACAAGAAACAGTAAACAATAGAAATAATAAGAAACAATAAACAATATAAATAACAATATAAAGCAAGACAATCGCTCAGACCTCTCCGCCGGAGCGAGGGGGCAAGAACGGTGCTAAGAAAGGTGACTCACCAACGGCGACAGTCCGGCCGGTGCTCACGAGAGAGCGGAGGCGCACGAGCGAGAGGGGCGCTACCGTACGGGTACAGGAGCGCTGACTGCTTGACACGACCGCTTGGGAGCGGTGCGGCAAGAGGAATGACAATCCATTTTTTTTGCACCCGAAGCAATTAAGGGCAACCCTCCGGCAAGCGGGGGAGGGAGGCAGTGAATGCTCATAGCATATCACGCGGCCGGCTGCGTGGTTATGTGGAGACTTTTACCCACTAAACACTGCCTTTTAGGGACTGGCTTACTGGTACTCTCGAAAACGTGCTGTTTTCGAGAGTCATTACGAATCGTCTCGCAAGCAGACTCGACGACTTCCAGCCTCCCGAACAAGCCGGTTTACGAAAAGGCTTCAGTACCATAGACCACATACATACCCTGCGGCAGATTGTACAGAAGACTGAAGAGTACAATTTGCCACTTTGCCTGGCGTATGTGGACTATGAGAAAGCCTTTGATTCCGTCGAAATTTGGGCGGTGCTGCAGTCCCTTCAGCGGTGCCAAGTTGACTGTCGGTATATCGAAGTGCTGAAGTGTTTGTACAGTAGGGCTACGATGGCTATCCGAGTACAGAACCAGAGCTCGAAACCTATCCAACTGCAGAGAGGTGTAAGACAGGGTGACGTTATATCCCCGAAACTCTTCACCGCTGCTTTGGAACACGTTTTCAAGCTACTGGACTGGAAAGGATACGGTATTAACATTAATGGCGAGTACATCACTCACCTTCGATTTGCCGACGATATAGTCCTTATGGCAGAATCGCTGGAGGACTTAAGCACTATGCTCAATGAACTCAATAGTGCCTCCCAACGGATAGGTCTTAAGATGAACATGGACAAAACAAAGATCATGTTTAATGTCCATGTCACACCTATGCCGGTAGTTGTTGGGAGCACTATGCTCGAAGTTGTTGACGAGTACGTTTATCTGGGACAAATAGTCCGACTAGGTAAGTCCAACTTCGACCGAGAGGTCAATCGACGGATTCAACTCGGCTGGGCAGCGTTCGGGAAATTACGAGACATCTTCTCGTCAGGTATACCTCAATCTCTGAAAACTAAAGTGTACAACCAGTGCGTGTTGCCAGTGATGACTTACGGATCAGAGACGTGGTCCTTCACTGCTGGCCGTATGAGGACGCTCAAGGTCGCTCAGCGAGCTATGGAGAGGGCTATGCTCGGAGTTTCTCTGCGTGATAGACTCAGAAATGAGGATATCCGCAGTATAACCAGAGTGACCGACATAGCCCAACGGATTAGTAAGCTGAAGTGGCAATGGGCCGGCCATATAGCTCGAAGAACCGATAACCGATGGGGAAGAAAGGTTCTCGAGTGGCAGCCTCGTACCGGTAAGCGTAGTGTAGGGCGACCCCCCACTAGATGGAGTGACGACCTGGTAAGATATGCAGGAAGTCGATGGATGCAGGTGGCTCAGGACCGTGCTTTGTGGCATTACTTGGGGGAGGCCTATGTGCAGCAGTGGACTTGTGAAGGGCTGTAATGATGATGATGATGAATGATTACTGGTCTAACTAGAGATCTCTAAGCCTTATCGAACGCGACCCCCCTTGGCAGAAAGGGGGGCGCAAGATAATCCATATTCGTTTCATCTCTTTTTATACTTATTTATGGTATCGTTGCAAGAACGTGAAGCAACGAATATCAATGAAGAACATCGCTTAGTTCGTGAACCATGTTAGCAGATCATTCCACAGTTTATGCGTTTTGTTTTCGAAGATTGGTTAGATAGTTGGTTTTGGTTGGATATGTGCTAACGGTTATGTACTTAGATTTATCGATATAATCATGATATTTTGATAACGTAACGTGTTTAGTTATGTATTGATATATCGGTCTAATGCTTAGCGCTAGCACTTCTTAGTAGTAGGGATGTTCCGATTACACCAAATATAAACGTAATACCTACACATATGAGTAATACTGAAATCGTTTTACGATGCTACTACGTTAGTACACTTGTTAGTTTGTGGATGCTACTCCTATAAGAGTATTGAGTGCTATGTACGTAGACCATAGATTTAGTATGAATTCTGGAGCTTATACTCCGTAGACAGAGAATACTCATTATATTGAATCTATGACGGCTTGCTATGCTATTTATCTATGATTCGTAGACTAGAGTATATAGTGATCTGTGTCTATGATGTTGGTGCTATGTATGTTGATTGTTGATTTTATTCTTTGGTTATGTTAATTACGTTTTTGAAAGGATGCAATAGATTTGTTTTCGTTTCACCGTTTAAAAGGTACCTATATTGCACTATAACGTATGCGATACGTTTGTTTAAACTGTATTCTGTAAATTAAATAAATAAATTAATGTATGATAATTTTAATTTACTATATCATTAAGTAGTTGTGCGCCGAAGAACATAATGCAAGTCTTTACTCAAAGGCGTAATCCTATAACCGGTAGCACTGAATGGGATGTTCAACATGAAGATTACGACTATCATCAAGAGATCGCACGCTCGGCTTTTGCAGATATGCTTCATGACTCAGAAAGAAATAAAAAATACTACAGAGCTTTACAACTAGCTATTGAAAAAATGCATAGTGATGGAAAGAAAGCTAATGTTTTGGATATAGGTAATTGAATTCGTAATATTTGTTTTGTATGTATAAAATAGTATTGAAACATATATTTGAAAATATAAATGTTTCCCTTATTACTAGCGACAGTAAAGTAAAGTTACAGCCTATATACGTCTCACTGATGGGCACAGGCCTCCCCTC